ATATATAATAAAGTTTGATATTAGGGGGGTTTTATCAGAGATTTCATTATGATTGAAGACTGAGGTATATCATCACGCATTTCAAGGTCTCGTTTCCTTCCACCAGTGATAACATCTGTGAGGATGATTATTTATTGACCAATTGTACGTCAGTATTAACATACTTCCCATGACTCTGGGTTGTGGATGCCCAGCGGCAGCTTGCAGAGAGAGGATTCATCACGCACTGTTTTTAATATGGGAGACATGAAACGAGTCTTAGTTGATTGGCAGTTGTCCTTAGAGACAGATACTGATTAAAAGGAAAGTGTTGATATTCTTCTAATCTTATATTTATCTGACAAATATTTTAATGAATGAGGTCAAAAGTGAATCTATACCCTGTGGAATGTACCAGGAACATTTGTAACCAGATAACAAACAATTTTGATTATTCTGAACCAGGTGAGCTAACTAGATAGCATGTACAAGAACACCCTTAGAAGAAGAAGAAGATTTATTGTACATAAACACCCACAGGGGGCAGGGTACAAAACATGAACATGACTAATTAAACATTGACATACACAATAGAATACAAATATTGCTATGATTATATTGCTAGAGAGGAGATGCAGATTTTCTTTGCCTGAACATTTTGTGAATGAAATTGGAGATAATTTTTGCAAAAGGCTCTGGTGGATGTAAAAGAATTTTTAGAGATAATGGGTTGCATAGCCAAGGTGGGTGATGAATATAGTTCCTGTCTCAGGTCTTTGTACAGAGGGCATTGTAACAGGAAGTGTTTCTTGTCTTCTATTTCATCAATATCACAGAAGGTACATAATCTTTCTTCTGTTCGAGTGTTAAAGTATCTTCCTCTCTCAATTTGAAGGTTGTGAGCACTGAGTCTTAGCCTCGTAACTGCTTTGCGGTGTTCTAATGCGGTGGTTACTTTCAGATATGGTTTAAAAGATGAGGTAAAAGAAACCATGAAATAACCTTCTCAAGCACAGCAAAGGCTCAAAAGATTTTTCTGAAAAGTACAATACCGATACAATACTCTATTTCTGAAAACCCTTTAATCAAGTAAAATGTTTTCCCACAATGCAACACTTTCAGGAAGTTGCCTTAGGGCAGCAGAAACTTGAGTAGTGTGTTTATCAAGGCCAGCAGCAAAATCACTGCTTAGTGCAATTTTTTAAATTTGCCCCCAGACCTGTTGACTTTAGGCAAAAGGTGGTGCCAAACGTTTGCTCAGAATCCTTTAATTTCCCCAGACAAGGGGAATGAGTAATGTGACATTTAATTTAAAGCACACTGCTTGAATCACATGTGTTGCGTCTACATGTATATGCACTTTCCAGCTGACTGAAACAGGGGGCATCTCAAAGTTTCTGCAATGATATATTTCCGTTTGGCTCACCTATTCCATAATAAATTGAATTCTAGACAAAATGACAATACACAAATAATATCCATCAGTTTTCCACATTGTTCCTTGTTGCACCCATCAGGTGCCACACTCAGCAATATTCCAGTGTTACTATGGCAATCTATAAATAATCAACTCTGACACACACAATCCAGTGATTGAAATCATGAGAATTGATCCACACATGGGATAGCCATATCACTGCTGCTTGTAATCTATTCGCAAACTTGTGGTTCACACCACTAGCAAGATGACACTGTCAACAAGGATAGACATTGTAACCACCTAATCATGGGTTATCTCCCAACAATTTTTTAATTTGAAGTTTACACGATATACAGCTTTTCCATTGGACGAGAGGTCGGTCACATGACCGCGAAATTGACGTTCATAAGTGTATGAACAACACAATTTGACATTCATACGTTTTTCACGAGAACGTGTTCTTGAAATGACGTAAACACTGACGGACCACTTCCACATTCCTGGGGAAACCACTGGGAATTCCCGAGCACGAAAACATACATAAGCATTCTTTCTGATCATTTAGAACCTTCATTCTTGGTCTCAGCAATATACCTGGTGACTAGTCCATTCAAGACCCCATTCAATAACATCCAGAATTTATTGAGATGGTCCCTGACACAAACTCCAAACATGTTCCTACAGACCACATTAAATAATCCTCAACTCCCTGCTCCAGATTGATAGCTTAAACGTCCTCAGACCATTGTGTATTGTCATGGGAGATGTCGGTTTCTCCACCGATCGACTGTATTATGGAAATCAGTAAAAATGCCATGGATATCATTCAATTCAATACAGGAAATAAAATTGATTTGTGAATATTGCTGAAGTTAATGGCTAGATAACACATATCATGCTTATCCATGAAGGAAGTAGTTGCCTTCATGCATGGTCATGAGCTGCTTCTAGCATCTAGATCGGGCCTGAAGTACAGACACATCCACAACATCAAAATACATTACCATCAAACTACACAGTATTATCAAATCAGAGCAGTGCCATGGGACGTAGTTCACCTGGTCATTTACACAATAGCTAGTAAGTCACATTAAGCTGTTGTTGTTCATGTATATATACAGTAAACTACGACTGTAACGAACTCAAAAGAACCACTAATTTTAGTTCATTATAACCGTAGTTCGTTATGAGCATATATAAAGCAAATGGACGGAACCAAAAAAACAGTTTGTACATCCATCGGTTCGTTAAAAGCATGTTTGTTATAATTGTAGTTAACTGTGTATCTACACAATATATATTGTTAGTGTAATCACGGTAAGTCACCACAAAAGTCAGGTCAGCAATGAAATATGAAATATTCTTGAAAAATATTCATTTTTTTTATGAGGAGAGTGAGTGAGTTGTGATTAATGTTGAGCAGAACAGTATTTCAGTTGTATCACAGTGTCTCAGCTAGATGTGGTAGGAAAGCTTAAAGTGATGCAGGTTTACCACTTTGGTACAAAGTACGAACACAGGTATGGCAGCTTAGAAATTGGCCCTTGTCTCACAGCCGATGACAAACTACCAAATAGTTAAGGTATCCTAATAGAAATTTTGCTATATGTAATCATTATAAGGACTAGTGGGTTAAAACTGTTGGTTTCTATCGCTGTATGGTGCTAACAGACCTAGGACCATACTAAGGACAAAGTGGGATTAGGACCCATGCAACCAGTTCAATGAGCCTGACCACAATCCACACCATCGAGTCGTGATGACAAGCAGCTACAATCACAGAACTTGACCACAGTCTACACCATCAGGTCATGGTGACAAGCAGCACAGAACTTGACCATGGTCTACACCATCGGGTCATGATGACAAGCAGCACAGATCCTGACCACAATCCACACAATCAGGTCATAATGACAAGCAGCACAGAGCCTGACCATGGTCTACACCATCGGGTCATGATGACAAGCAGCACAGAGCCTGACCACAATCCACACCATCAGGTCATAATGACAAGCAGCACAGAGCCTGACCATGGTCTACACCATCGGGTCATGATGACAAGCAGCACAGAGCCTGACCACAATCCACACCATCGGGTCATAATGACAAGCAGCACAGAGCCTGACCACAATCCACACCATCAGGTCATAATGACAAGCAGCACAGAGCCTGACCACAATCCACACCATCGGGTCATAATGACAAGCAGCACAGGGCCTGACCACGGTCCATACCATCGGATCATAATGACATTCAGCTAGTTCAGAAAATGGACCCATCTGGGTATTTCTTCCCTCTCTGTGCATCTACATGAACCATCACCCATTTAAACATGCTATACGTTTAACTAGCCATGGGCAATAGGACTCGTGTTTGTTTCTTATACAACTGATGTGAGCCAAAAAGTCAGAAATCAACAAAGAAGAGTATTTACTGATCTGTTATTCCAAAGATCGTTTGAAAACCAAATCTCCTTGAAATGTCAGGGTAACCCATGTTACCAAATACAAGTTTTATCAAAGGATTTGTTGATAATGTTACAGATCATACAGTGAGATCAAGAAAAATACATGCTTATAATGTTATTATTTGGAAATACCACATTTATCTGAACATAAAATATCAATTTTACAGAGTGAAATAGAAACTTTATAATGTTTATGCCAGAATCAGTTATATTCTGCCTCAGGGACACTGTGGTTTTCAGACACTGCAAAACAAACATAACATAAAGAACATTTGGCTGATTTGATCAAATAACCTGTTTATCTTTTGAGCTGCAATATCAACTTTATCAGGTCACCTGATGAGCTAGGCATGTTATTTGACAAGATTAGCCAAATAATAGACTGTTTCTACCCTTCCTGTGAGGAAATGCGAGATATTTCATAGATAATATATAAGCTGTATATTATCCTGAGATCTGGACTCCTCCTAACTTTATATCTGACTCCTGTATGATCCCAAGCATTATATGCCTGCCTATCACCACCAGCATCCAGGATCTGATGTGGAGGATGTGAGATGGATGGTTTGACATGGAGCTTGCTGTGTTGGACTCCAGCCAGCAGGCTGCCATATCAATATTACCCATGCTGGAAAGGTTGAGATTTATGAATCTTACATTTAACAACCAAATCAAAGCCCTCCAAATGAAATGAAAGTGAGAGTCAGTTGAAAGTCATGTTTTGTACACAAACACGTTTTTCAAGAAATTGTAAAATGACAAAAAAGAATCATAGGCCTATTTGTCAAGCATTCGTAATTATAAGTCGCAGAACACTGTTTATTTGTGAAATGCATGAATACACCTGGTATGTATCCAGTGTTTGAGATTGCAAGGCCTCAGGCAATTGACGACTAAAACAACAAATTACCTTGTATTTCTTTGTATACAATATGGGTTCCCAATATCAGATACTCAGATACCAAGGCCCAAATCATTTCCACATGTAATGGTCAGTTGAGCAAGAAGAACTGACAAGACTCTGAAGCTCTGTGGGAGTAGCGTACAATATAATTGCCAACAAAAAAACTAGGTTGACTGTTTTCTCAAGTACACGGTCAATAAAGTGACTGTAGGAAAGGGGAGATAACTCACTGATCTCAGCTTCGTTTTCCCGCACTTTGGCATTGTTGCCCAGTCTCTCCAGATTCTCCGCCATGTATGCTTCGTTCTGCACATGCACTGCAACAAAAAATACCATGTCTGTAAAATATGATCACACCCCTTTCACAACAAACCATCTGAACCTGTAGGTCAAAATGCAAAGGCCCTGTTTAACAACGACACAGTAATGCTATGGATGTATTATTTACCAGAACATCCATACCATATTCATCGTGAACACCACCCTAGGTGCTTGGACAACTGATAGGGGGGAGGGGGGTTGGAGACATTAATGAAAACCATACACAACAATAATAATTTGTCGTCACAGACCATACGAAAGAGAAAAGAGTTGGTTCAAACATATATGAAACTGAAACCTTTTTTATGTGTCCTGTGTCTTCTTTAAAAACAATCTGCAATATGCACAAGAAAATACCAAATGTCTCGTGCAGGGCACTTATAATCATAACTTAAAGATTGGTCTGGCAGATGTGCTGGGGTTGCTAATACGGTAATTACTTTTCTTCAACATAGACTTACGATAGATCCACTGCTGGTTAGGATTCTTGGGAACAGTGGGCATCATATTTTAACACTCAACATACAAATCTAATCTACCTACAACACTGTCCAAGGAGCCTCTAGATGTTATCATATACTACAGTCACATAAATTTACAATCAAATTTATCATCTAAATCTTTGTGAAATGTGTGACAGAATGGAAACATTTCATGCTCATAATTTCTTTTTTCTTGAAATCGATGCTGTGAGTCGCGACAAGTATTCCAGCACAATACAGAAAGATGACATTGTTGACAAGTGGCCATCATGACAAACGAAAGCATGTGTGGAAGGGTGGAAACAAAGTTTGGTGAAACCTAATAATAAATTTATACAGTCCTGATGCATGAGATAAGGAGAGCAGTTTCTGAATCCCAGCGCTCTTGGACACACTCTGACCAAGGTTTGCATATTTGCCACAAAAATATCTAGCGCTATGTCTATTGAAAGTCTGTTGAAGTAGTATGGGATATACAACCATAGCTCTAAAACCTAGATTAGTGGAACGTGGCCAAGTTTTGCTCCAGACGGAAATATTCCATACTACTTAAACATTAATCATGTTAATCATGTAAATAAATTAATCAAATATATCTGACTTCTTCATTTCTTATTGACTAAATTCTATATCTGTAAACATCTGTACACTAATGCAAAAACATCATTTGCAATATAATAGGTCTTAAGCTGGTCTATTCACAGAGATTCTCAATAATAGCCAAGACTAACAGTTCGAAGTGTTACGCATAAAGGTGAGAAGTTATAGAGGTGGAATGTTGAATTATTGAAGCTGTGGCAGCTTTCTGTTGACCAGAATCAATATCCCATCATGCCTAGCAACATGCAACATGTCGTACACATCCATTTTTAATGAGGAAACAAAATAGGTCAGTTTTTCTGTTACACCACATGTCACAGTGGTATCGCCATGGCTACATCTCAATGAGAAAATGTCTGTGTGACACAAGAAGCTGCTGTCTTGCTTTCGTAGAATCAGAACAGACCAAAATGAGATGTTTTCAGACAGACCAGCCACTACCAATTGGTAATAATCATTATTTCTGTCAATAAATGTAATATGGAATGCTCTTCAGAAGAGTGCAGATACAATCAAATCAAACACAATTCCTTCCAACACATGTGGCCAAATTAGTGACATGCAAAAGCATCAACAACACTCTCTACCTGTTTTAAACCTGACAGTTATGAAGACATTGACAGAGTCTCAACAAACTCCTAACAAGCCTATCTCTATGATATGAGCCAAGGGAGCATGGCATGTTCTTCAGTTTAGTACATTCCACCAGCAAAAGTTTTACAGAAGACCTTATATCTTGGGAATGTGGCCATTTTTTTAGCTATTATCTAAGATTTAATTTATTTAACAGAAACATGACAAACTTTTTATTGTTGAGCATTCAGAATGATAAAAGTAGGCAGCCCAGAGTTCTGGCAGTATTTGAATTGTCCCACAAATGCTCAGATTATCTCAGTGCTTATCAATACTGCGTGGAGCCTTGGTCAGGCCTATCCTATTACTGTCCAATAATCCTTACTGTAATGACACTCACAGAGAAACATTTATTGTCCCGCCAGCATAGGTCAAGGGCTCTCATAAATATTTTGAATTGTGAAATATTGATTGAGTGACCTGGAGCAGTGTATAAGGGCTGACACCACCATGTCCACTGTAGCGGACGGCTTCCTGTTTATCATTAGTGCTGTCTGTACAGTTCTGAAAACAATCCTTAACATTTTCTAGAGGATCCAAGTATGTTCTTTTTCATGGATGATGTAGAACTTAGAAAGGTTTGAAAACCGGAACAAAATTCATGATGGATTTTAGTGAACATACTGACTTGATCATTTATGCATCTGATAACAATTTCTGAAAAATAATTTGTATAACTACTGACTCTTATCATATCTGCTATTTGTCATGATTGTGTTTACAGTGTCATTGTGGTTTGACTGTCACATTGTAACCCAACAGTATTGACAGCTAGCGATTACCTTGGTCAAATCAAGGATACCATCATACACAACAATCTACTGAAACCAGACACATCAAAAAGAACACTTTGCAGTAATGAATATCTAAGCATTAAGTTTCCATGGTTATGACTTTTCAAGCTTTTAAAGTACATATTTCTGTTTCTTGTTTTGCAAACTTTATGAAAATCACCAATAAAAACCTTCCTAATCAATTTGAAAATAAGGTAGCAAAAAATGGTGGCAGAGGCCACCCACAGAAGAGAAAATATGTTTTCCCAGACAATCCCAATTGATCTGTGGGCTTGAGCTGGACAGCTGGTCTAGGTTGTAATGTGTGTGTCAGAATTATTGAGTTAACCTTCTGCTGGAATCTGGTGAAACAGTGTTAGAAATTGGCACTAGTCCTGTAGTCCTTACTAAACTGCCCAATAGTAAATGTATCCTAAGGACTGGTAGAAATTGGCCCATTTTAAGGGTTTTGCTATATGTTATCATGATAAGGACTAGTGGACAAAAACTGTTAGTTTCTAACCCTGTGAAATCCCTCATAATCAATGTCACCATAACACCCATGCCTTCACACAGAAGGACCCCCATTCACTACATGGGCAAAACCTTAAAACTTACATTCCTACTTTCCATAAACCTCATACCATTTCCATGACACAACATCGTCCCTGAGAATCTGAGCTAAGATGGCTACAGTTTGTATCTGTCCAGTCACTGTCTGGAGGAGGGTTTATTGGCTGTTTGACTGTTGCCTTGCCATCGTAACAAACTATTTCAGACAACTGTGGCCTACGAGCATAATCCTCCTACACAGTGGCAGTCAAACAATCTTATTGTTTCTGTGGTATTGGTCTGGACACAATGATCTTTTGTAATGGAAATTTGACTTGTTACCCCCTAACCATGATAACAGTGCTGGGACTGATCTCTATGTTCAGGATCAGTTGTCAATACCAGTCAACATGCAACACAAGTAGCTTCTTGCTTTTATTAATTTGAAATCATGGTAGAAATGGGCACTCAGGAAGACCATTTAGACGTAATGATTGATGGCTTGGGAAAAAGCTATTCTAACCAACAATTGATTGTGAAACCCCAAGTGGATTCTCTCACAAGTAGCAGTTGCAGAGTTGTGTAGGCCTCGAGTATCACATCTAAATGAATGACAGAACTCAACACTCCATGTGCATCTACATAATGGCAGACTGAAATGCCTGTAATCAGATCTCGAGTAGAAAACCAAACCTGATATTGTGTAAACACTGTCCTACACCTTCATCAGTCTAACTATGCCATCAGTCTAACTATGCCATAAGTATCCCTCTGTACATCAGTCTAACTATACCATAAGGATCCCTCTGTACATCAGTCAAACTATGCCATAAGTATCCCTCTGTACATCATTCTAACTATGCCATAAGGATCCCTCTGTACATCAGTCAAACTATGCCATAAGTATCCCTCTGTACATCAGTCTAACTATGCCATAAGTATCCCTCTGTACATCAGTCTAACTATGCCCTAAGTATCCCTCTGTACATCAGTCTAACTATGCCATAAGGATCCCTCTGTACATCAGTCTAACTATGCCCTAAGTATCCCTCTGTACATCAGTCTAACTATGCCCTAAGTATCCCTCTGTACATCAGTCTAACTATGCCCTAAGTATCCCTCTGTACATCAGTCTAACTATGCCATAAGTATCCCTCTGTACATCAGTCTAACTATGCCATAAGGATCTCTCTGTTCATCGATCTAACTATGCCATAAGTATCCCTCTGTACATCAGTCTAACTATGCCCTAAGTATCCCTCTGTACATCAGTCTAACTATGCCATAAGTATCCCTCTGTACATCAGTCTAACAATGCCATAAGGATCCCTCTGTACATCAGTCTAACTATGGCATCAGTCTAACTATGCCATAAGGATCCCTCTGTACATCAGTCTAACTATGCCATCAGTCTAACAATGCCATAAGGATCCCTCTGTACATCAATCTAACTATGCCATCAGTCTAACTATGCCATAGGTATCCCTCTGTACATCAGTCTAACTATGTCATAAGTATCCCTCTGTACATCAGTCTAACTATGCCATAAGGATCTCTCTGTACATCAGTCTAACTATGCCATAAGTATCCCTCTGTACATCAGTCTAACTATGTCATAAGTATCTCTCTGTACATCAGTCTAACTATGCCATAAGTATCCCTCTGTACATGTCTAACTATGCCATAAGTATCCCTCTGTACATCATTCTAACTTTCCATAAGTATCCCTCTGTACATCAGTCTAACTATGCCATAAGTATCCCTCTGTACATCAGTCTAACTATGCCATAAGTATCCCTCTGTACATCAGTCTAACTATGTCATCAGTCTAACTATACCATAAGTATCCCTCTGTACATCAGTCTAACTATGTCATAAGTATCCCTCTGTACATCAGTCTAACTATACCATAAGTATCCCTCTGTACATCAGTCAAACTATGCCATAAGGATCTCT